CAGATCCTGCTAATTGTCCCACATGTACTGTGACCTCTCACCTCAACATCCTCTTCCTTTTCCTAAGGACAACAGCTGCCTGCTTGTGTGTGGCAAAGCTCTCAGTGTTGGTTTTATGGGTGGTTTTCAGTACTCAAAAGCTTTGATCTTACTTCTCCAGAATAAGTTAGGATGTTGAATAATTCCAATGATTATTTCCTGCCTTCATTACATGTTTTTGTAGCTAGACATAGCTTCCAGGAACAAATAACCTCTGTCTAGCTGCATACTTCTTTGCCCATAAGTGGACAAAATAAGTTGACTGATACTGACTAAGCAACATGGAAGTCTAGGGTAAAAAGCAGACTTGGGCTTCAAAGACCTTGGTTAAAAATTGGGCCTGTCACTTGTCCTTTGACTCCGATCATTTCTCAGTGTCATTTTATCCCCGTCTGAGGATGGAACCTAAAACCTAGGTATGTGCCCTGACCGGGAATCAAACCCACAACCTTTTGGTGTATGGGATGACACTCCAACCACCTGAGCCATCCAGCCAGGGCTCTCACAGTGTCAGTTTCACTGTCTGTAAAATAAGGCAGTTGGACTGTGATCACTAAAATCTTTCCAGTCTTAACATTTGATTATCAAAACTTACAATCTGGTACAGGTTTTTCAAAATTTGGAACATTGGGTTCCATTTTTAGTGAACTAAGTAGAATTTTCGGAGGCTCAAAAATAACCAGTAGTTAATTATTCTGCTTGGGACCTCCTTCTGTGTATGTTTAGATATTAGCCCCTGTGTAATGTGAAGGCTGATGCCGATGCTGGTGTTAGAGGCGTGGTTCAAATGTGTCATTCCGTAAGCTTTGATAAGAATGTAAAGTGTTTACGTTGGAAAACTGTCCCTTGCCTCCTTTACATTTTGACATTCTACTTGGACCTACTGCCTAACCACGACTTTCTTCTCCACGGTCTTTTAAATTCATGCACTGGTTCAGGGGCTTACATCTGTAGTCAGAATCCATATCGTGACTGTTTTATCAATTCTCCAGTGAAAAATTCCACAAAATGGTCTCCATAGAGCACTAATTCCACAAAGTATTGGTAGATGTTTTGAGAAAACATTTCATGGTTTTAAATTTAACAAAACACTCACTTAAACTGCCAAACTGCTGAACAGGTTTCTTTAACCGAATGTCCTACGCTTTGCTGTGCTGATGCTCAGTGAGAACTCTCCCAGGAAGACACAGGATGTGCAGCTCCGTAAACAGCCACAGCAGGAGTCCTCTCCTCTTGGGCTTTCTGTCTACTTGGACATGTCCCATGTCATATATTTTGGAACAACTGCTTTAATAAATGCTGTTTGTAAACGCCTTGATTGTTTTTATATTTTAGCAATAAAGTGTGCATGCAGGCATATCACTGCAAAGAGTCAAAGAATATTTGTATACTATGCATACTAGATAGTCAATAATGTGAATTAAAATAATGAGTGTTTAGATGTTTTATCAGAAAATCTGGCAAGGTTCCCATTTGGGATATAAAACTCTTAGGAAGGAGGAGGACTAAGTCACCAGCAGTGCAGTCTTCCTTCCCAGTTCCAGAACAGAATGTAGTCTTCTTCCCTCTCCTGTTGCCACCTCCCTCCACTCTCATGGTAGAGAAAGCCCACAACATTATGGTGCGTTATGCTCCTTTTCGACTGGTCATCAGAGTTAGTCAAATGATGATCTGGAAATAATTATATATGTTTTTAAAACTCTAACTAGAAATAAAGTTTGTAATGACAATAAATTTGACCATAGAAATACATAGTTCTAGCTGAAACATCTTAAGAAATCACATCCAATAGAGGCAACGTTAATAACCATCATTCAGTAATGATGAATCCTGTAAAAGGAATAATTACCTTTCAGGCAAGCAGCTGACTCCATTATTCTATGAGAACTCAAAAATGTGGTTGTTAGTGGTCATAATATAGTTTAAAATAGTACTTAAATGCATGATTATCAACTGGTGGAAGATTAATGTAGTTCTCTTTTGTAAATCTATTTCATAAAGCTTGAAGACTTGGGAGAGGTGTGTGTGCGCGCACACAGCAGGTGTGGAGGTTGATGGCAGTGAGAAGCACTAGATTCTTCCATAAATGGCATTAAAGAAATCAAAGAAAATGGCGGAAAGGAAGAATGTGAGAGGGTTTGGCTCAGTACATAACAAAACAGATGCTCATTTACTGACTAATGATTTTATTTAGCATTAAAAATAGCATTTCAAGCCTTGGGTTTCTCCCAGAGGAGTTAACATTCATAAAGGGTTTGAGGCAAAGAGATGTGGAAAACATGTAAGACTCAAGCTCGAAGAGTAATTGATGAAAGTTTCTCAGGGATCTTACCCTTGCGGCTTTGAGGAAGGCTCTAGAATAAAATGTAGTGTTTCCGAAGTTTTTCAAAAGAATCAAAGCAAGTATTTGTTTTTTAGCAAGAAGAGTATGCAAAAAGAACTAGTTTCCCATAAAATGCAGAAACACATAGAATTTAGTTCACCTCCATGACACCTCTTCTGTACCCCAGTCGTCACAGAGCTCATATTTATAACTGATAAAGCAACTTGCCTGTCAATACAGGTCCTGTGGCGTCCGTGTCGACCTGGTCAACATGCCAGGAAATTTCTTCAAACTCAGGGTGTGTTTGAGGCCTAGAATCTGTGTACAATCAGGCAAATGCTCATCATCTGAGGGTCTCTCAGCGGATGAGCACAAGTTCACACTCAGGTCATAACTAGCACCTAACCAGAGTCTTCGCTGGTTTATGTAAAGATTTTGAAAGTGAATGAAACCATAACTCTTGATTAATATATGGTACCAATTCACTATCATAAGCATATTACTGCTAGATATTATAAATTATTTCTATTTTGCATGAAAGTGGCATATTTAGATATCAGGTAATTTTTTAAATTTGCCCAGACCACATGAGGTGAATTATTCCCTGACCAAAATGGGTTCTATTTTGTTGAGCAGCTAGGGAAAATCGGGATAACAAATTAAAACTGAAAAATATATTTAAATATATTTTTGTTTCATCTTCCCTAATTTTTCTCCCCCGCTTTTTTTTTTTTAAATATCAAGACCTTTTAGAAGTGGGATGGGTTAGATCTGCTTTGTCAGAGGTTCTGAAATCTTCATGCATATGATAAAGGCATTAGCTGAATCAGCGGTTCTGGAAGTTCATGTTTGCAGTTATCTAACACTAGAGGCCCAGTGCATGAAATTCATTGGGGGGGGGGGGTGTCCTTCAGCCCAGCCTGCACCCTCTCCAATCTGGGACATCCCTCTCACAATCCAGGACTGCTGGCTCCCAATCGCTCACAGGACTGCTGGCTCCCAATCGCTCACCTGCCTGCCAGCCTGATCACCCCCTAACCACTCCCCTGCCAGCCCAATTGCCCCTAACTGCCCTCCCCTGCCGGCCTGTTCACCCCTAACTGCCCTCCCCTGCTGGCCCAGTCACCCCCAACTGTCCTCCCCTCCAGGCCTGGTTGCCCCCACTGCCCTCCCCTGCAGGCCTGGGTCCCCCCAACTGCCCTCCACTGCAGGCCATCTTTGACCACATGGGGGTGGCCATCTTGTGTGTTGGAGTGATGGTCAATTTGCATATTGCCTCTTTATTAGATAGGCTAAACACAGGTCCAAAGTGATCACTAAATCTCAACCATGAGTCAGAGAAATCAAACTTCTAGTTTGGAAGTAATAACAATTTAATGGACAAACAAAACATCACAGTGAAGAAAATATTGAAGCATTCTCCTTTTTTCATTCAACAGCATAATGAGTTTTTTGTTGTCATACATTTAAAAACTTTTTACAACCAACTCAACTTACTAGCAACTAAAAAAAAAGACTATCACAATGCGCAGAGGGATACAGTTTAAAACTGCAGACATTATACAAATAAGCAACACATAGTACCCATGTCCAGAGCTTTCTAGAAATCTCATCAGACAACTCACTTATTTATTTAATGTTACATTTCTAATATCAAATTTAACATCATTTTTGTTCATACAAAATGAACATTTTTTTAAAAAACCTTATAAATATATAAATCCAAACCACAAAACATCTCCTAACCATGTATTTACTCTAAGTACAAATGGACTTCTGGAATTTGCATTCACAATGCAATCTAAAGTAGAGTTTATTAAATCGTAAGTGTATTTAGCTGGATCTGAAATTCATTGGACCATATCCCACATACACTTTGCTGTCATACTTACCTTGGGCATACATAGTCTCAAAGTTAATAGTTATATCATTGAAATCAAACTACTATTCTAGAAATAAGTGTCAATGTTTCCTGAATAAGGGGTTTGGAACTGGTCCACTGTAACTATGTCACGCAACAAATGTTTCATCACAAATAAGCTAAAGTTGTCTTAGTAATGCCCCTTTCTAGGAGTTATAAATATTTTAATGTTAATCATCAGTAATGGTTTTTAGAGATTAAAAAGCTTTTTGTTGTCTAGCTTCTGTGGAGATTCTATTCCTTCAAACCTAAAATATGCTGAACAATTTCTTTTCATAAATATGTACATTCAACTTCCCCTACATCTTGAAAAGAAGTTCATTCATTGAAGTCACATAGCTTATATTTTACTTGAAATAAATTGTGTAAGAACTTGAATCTGTTCTAAAACTGACTCCGCCACCTTCATTTTACTTCCTGGAAGGGTCGTTTCCAGCAGGGCACCAGCCTTGTTTGCTTCTTGCTCATCTTTTTGCCTGGCCTGTTGCAACAGCCTGGCACGTAAACCTAAGCCTTACACTTTGGCTAACTCAGTAGAGCACAGCAAAATATTTAGGCTCTCAACACGTCACACTGTGAACCAGAACATCTCATTCATTCTTTCTGGGTTTCCACTATCACAATTTACCCCCAAATTGTTATAGGATTAAGTTAAATTAGTCAATACTTTACAATGGGGAAAAAAAATCTTCATAAACTTATAGCAACTAATTTAAATGAAGCCCTCTCAGGATAAGGGGTGGAGCTAAGTGAACCATGTAGTTTAAAAAAAAAACTAAACTGAAATGTTTTAAGGAAAGATGCAAATGAAGATTTTCATGAACTATAACTGCTCTGTGAGAATTTCAGAGAGGAGAGGAGAGAGGAAATAAATATGGGGAAAGGCTGCGTCTCAAAGACAAGTGGCCATACTGTCATGAAGTTTCCTTTCATGCAAATGGCTTAATGTTTTTAGTTCTCTTTAGTATACTGTGGCAGACAGATATTTGATTAAAACCACACAAGGGAATGAGGCCCACCCAGCTTCCTCTTGACAAGGGAGCACGTGCAAAGGAAACAAGCACCTCAAGTCAAGTAGCAGCCCCCACAGAGCAGCATTACTTCTAAGAGAAACAGCTGAGGGGGACTCGGGGAGCCCCAACAACAGAGCCGTGGGGGGTGCTCCCTTTTCTAGTGGATGTGTCTTGGAACAGCTCTCCTCTTGCGTTCACCCTGCATCATAGATTATCAACGATGATGAGAAGAGGAATCAGGTCACTCCTAACCTTCCATGAAGACTCCACTGCAGGCTAACACTTCTGCCCACCCCCTCAGGGTCCACCAAGCAGGGCTGAGTGAAATCCTGACCATTCTCTGTGAAGACTCATGCAAAGAGCTCCATGAAGGCTTAGCTTACATATTTTTGCTTCTCTGCTAACACCTAAATAGAAATAAACATTTGTACTTCCAGCACACATGAAAACTCACTGTGTCAACATTTGATGGAAAAATGGACCACAGACATATGGCCAATATGTCTAAGCATAGAGAATATAAAATCTTTGATAAATTACCTAATTTGAAACATAGCAATGTGTGTCAAATTTCTTAGTTTGCAATATCAATTAAGAAGGTGCCATACAGTCTAGAAATTCATGACACACACACTGGCAAAAACCATACACCATCAGAATAACCAGGCTCGAAGGGACGAGGCTAACAAAGATGACCCCAAGGGTGACCTTCTTAGAGACCAGCAGGTAGATCCCTAAGGGTAAGGAGCTGAAGTAGAGCAAACCTAACAACCAAACCAACACCCGGATGGATGTCTGAAACAGCAGGGAAGTACAGTTCCACACAGTCCAGTTGTGCGACACGGTGGTAACAGGGTCAAAACTTGCAGGCCTATAAAATTCTACCACAGGAGTGGAGCTCAGAGATGGGGAGCTTTCTCTCTGCACCTCCATGATGGTTATAACCAGACAGTTGGAGGAAGTGTGAGAAGGACTGACGAGAGAGGCCAGCCTCTTAGGGGTCAGCAGCAGCTCAGTGGGGTTTTCTGGCAGGCACTTCTTGCCTTTGCTCCCACAAGTCAAGTTCACGAGGATGTTGTTGTCATCGGGCAGGCTACTAACCTCATCATCTGGCAGGCATGTCTCAAACCTACAGAAGGGACAGACGATGACACCTTGCGGGGAGTCCCCAAAGTCTATGATCTTATAGAGGCATTTGGCACAAACCCTGTGACAACATTCCAGCACTTTGGGTTTCCTCTGTTTCAGATTGTATCGATTATAGCAGATCTTACACTCGAGCTCGTCAGAGACCTGAGACTCTGCAGCGTCTTCTGGTGGCTGACCCGCCATCTTGGATTATATATACAATCTTTGGGCAGATGTGTCCTTTTGGAGAACGACTTCAGTGAAGGTGTCCCTCTGAATATCACATCATTCAAATCAGGCAGAGATGCAAAAAGCCAGGAAAAGTGGTGACAGAAACAAGAAATCTTCCAGGCATTTCAGCCTCTACATAGAACTCTGTCTCAAATGCATATCTGAAAAGGCCACATGAGGGGTCTGCAAAGGAAAAAAGAGATTCTAATATAGTGAGGATTCTACTGGAGCAGTAAACTTAAAAGGTTAAATCCCCTTCATCTTTTCACACATTTCTGCCTCCAGGATAGAAACGTGTTATCTCCATGCTTAGCTTTTTTAGCCCCCAAATATAAATGTAAAGAAGGAATTAAGAATCTTAGTGGTGTAAAATACACACCAGAGCACTGTGAGTATAGCTAGGTAGTGATTTTCTTTCTGGAACCTGTAACAAATCCCAGCCTCTTTGAAAATAGAATGAGACACATCCGAAATAGATACACTTGTCATCAAATTCAATTCACTACAAACTAATTCAGAATGTCCTTGGTGTAAATACCAGTTGTCTAAATACCCTCAATAGTGCTTAGGAACACACAAAAGAGAACCCTTCAGGATAAATGCTTACCATGTGTTTTCAGAAAGTACTCTGATAGAGATGACAGCATATTTAAATACAATAAGACTGCCCTCACCTTCCCAGTGAAAAGAAATCTGTTATAAATGCCTTCACCATTTGACTATTCAATTTCAAACTCTTTGTTTCAGTACTAGTCTTAAAAGCCATAGTTGTTCATACACATGCACTCAAGGAAGAGTGAAGCCCATGACGCCTGACGTAAGCACTATAACAGGCCAAGTCTAATTCTCAAGAAACAGGAGTAAACACGATAACCACGCACAGCTATAGCTGCAAAGATGAAGAGTCACGCCTGCACGGCTACCAAGAAGCACTCAAGGTGTCCCCACCTGCATACCTTAGCTTATGTAAACTCTCTTTCTATAGTGAACAGAAAGCAAAATATCAACTGTCCTTACTGTCGGCCTTTAGTTGCTATTACTGGCTTTGGACAAATGACTGAAGGTTGATTTCATGTGCACAGTTAGTTCTCAATTATTAGTACTAATAGAAGGGAGAAGCAATATGAAAAATATCCAAATAAATTGTATTTTGCTTTAATATATATGACTTTGGTAGTAGGTTTGTCTTAAATTATGTTTTACTTGGAAAAATATAAAAATGTATTGAATTTCTGAGCATCTCTCTCCGCCCACCCCCCCACCCCCAAGCAATAATAGCAGAAGGCTGCCATAACAATCCTGAGAAATCGAGTGCAACTATGCTAGAATTTAAAGTTTCCTATGGGTCATGCTGCCTTAAAAGAGAAGAGGCAGGCCCTGGCCAGTTTTCTCAGTGGTTAAAGCTTCGGCTCGCAGATTGAAGGGTCTCGGGTTTCATTCTCTGTCTCCCCCACTCCCTTCCACTCTCTCTTAAAAAACAATCAATTGAAAAAATATCCTCAGGTGAGGATTAACAAAAAAAAATTTATAAAAAGAGAAGAGGCAGTGGGTAGCTAAACTTGGATCATTTCTGAAATCATGAATAACTAGTAAATGAATAGATATTACCTTCCTTTTTACTCATGACTTTAACTACATTTTTAATTGAGCATATAATACAAGAATGTATAATATAATGAATATTAGTAGCAAGATATTCTTGGTGGAAAAAGGAAGTCAATCAATAAATAGAACCTAACATCAACCAAAAAATATAGGTAGGATTTTTTTAAAATTAAGTTTACTACATATATATATATATATATATATATATATATATATATATGCATTTCATAATTACTACCCTAAGCTAGTTACTATCTATCCACTCTTACACACAAAAAGGACATACAGACACAAGCATAACTCCTGTATTCTTTTTCCTTCTGTGTATCCTAGATATTTTCTTCATTTCTGATCCTGATTATGTTCAGAATACATGTGCCCAAATATCTACAAAACATTATTGCCCACAGTTCTACCAAGAGACTTTGTATTCTCCTGTGGGATGAACAACTCCAGGATCACAGTCAAAGATGAGAAGGTGCTCTATCACACTGGGTCCTAGCTGCCAAGAGAATGGTCCCTCGTCCTGGGCAGGTGGTTTACTTACTGGACAGTTCCCATTCATTCTGTCGTCCTGGTAGCCACACAAAGGCCCATCCAAACTGAACCTGCTACATTCTCTTTGCAGCTGCCTCACACCCTCTGAATCACAGGCACACTGAAGTGGATAGTAATAGCAGTGATTGCCTTGATTGCCATCAAAAGAACTGCTGTGTGTGAAGTTGTGTGAAAAAGAAAAAAAAGTATGTAAACACACACATAATGACATCAGGAAAAGAGAGAGCAAAATATTCAATGGGGATAAATAAGCAAAATTACATCTAAAAGCATAGAAAGCCAGAGTATACATACAGAAACACCAACAAAAGGCTTTTGTGTAATAAAATTAGAACCCTACCTTACACCACTCACAAAAATTAACTCAAAATGGATTAAAGACTTAAATGTAAGACTCCTAAAAGAAAACACAGGATAAAAGCTCCTTGGCCTGGATCTTGCAATGAATTTTTGAATATGACACCTCAGGCACAAGCAACAAAACAAAAAGTAAATAAGCGGTACTCCGTCAAACTAAAAAGCTTCTGCACAGCAAAGAAATGATCATTAAAAAATAACTTATGGGATGGAAAAAAATATTTGTAAGTCATATACTGGATCAGGGGTTAATGTCCAAAATAAAGAAAGAATTCATACAACTCAATAGCAATAATAATAATAATAATAATAATAATTCCATTTTAAAATGGGAAAAGGACCTGAACAGACATTTCCCCAAAGAAGATATATGAATGGTCAACAGGTACATGAAAAGGTTCTCACCATCACTAATCATAAAATGCAAATCAAAACCACAATGAGATATCACCTAATGCCTATTAGAGTAGCTATGATTAAAAATATAAGAGATAACAAATGCTAGTGAGGTGTGTCGAAAAGGGAACCCTTGTGCACTGTTGGTGGGACTGTAAATTGATGCAGCCACTATGGAACTGTATGGAAGTTCCTCAAAAAATTAAAAATAGAACTACCATATAATCCAGTAACCCCACCTCTGGGAATATATCCAAAGGAAACGAAAACACCATATCAAAGAGATACAGGCACTCCAAGGTTCACAGCAGCATTGCTTACAATAGCCAAGGCATGGAAACAACCTCAGTGCCCATTGATGGATGAATGGATAAAGGTGTAATAAATACACACTCATACATACACACAATGGAATTATTCAGTCATAAAAGAGAAATCCTGTCATTTTCTGCAACATGGATGGACTTTTAAGGCATTATGCTAAAGTAAAATAAGTCAGCCATAAATGTGACCTTTTTTCTTTTTTATTGATTTCAGAGAGGAAGGGAGAGGGAGAGGGAGATAGAAACATCAATGATGAGAGAGAATCATTTATCAGCTGCCTCCTGCATGCCCCCAACTGGGGATTGAGCCCACAACCTAGGCACGTGCCCTGACCAGGAACTGAACCATGACTTCCAGGTTCATAGGTCGATGCTCAACCACTGAGCCAAGCTGGCTGGGCATAAATGTGATCTTATATGTGAAATCTAAAAAAAAAAAAAAATAATAAAACACACACACATACATAGAAAAAGAGATCTAAAGATTAGATTTGTGGTTACTGTAAGTAAGGGGTAAAGGGACAGGGAATTGGCAGAAGGTGGTCAAAGGTGCAAACTTCCACTTATAAGATAAACTAGAGGCCCAGTGCACAAAATTCATGCACGGGTAGGGTCCTTAGGCCTGGCCAGCCGCTTCTTCCCTCGCTACCCATGCACCGCCACAGCACGATTCCCCCCCCTCACCTCCACTTCCTCCTTCCCTCACTCCCTCAGCACCCCGCCACCACCATTGATCACCCACCATGGTCCATGCCGCACCCTGGTGGTCAGCGCACGTCATAGCGAGCAACTGAACTCCCGTTCTCCTGCTCAAACTCGGGAGGGAACACTTTGCTTATTAGCCTTTTATATGTATATAGACTAGAGGCCCGGAGCACGAAATTCGTGCATGGGGGGGGGGGGGTCCCTCAACCCGACCTGCTCCCTCCCCAATCCAGGAGCCCTCAGGGGATGTTCTACTGACGGCTTAGGCCCAATCCCCACTTATAGTATGTGAGAATACACTATGTTGTCAGTGAGTCACATTAATACTCCCTGTGCCAAACTTCCAACCATTAGAAGAGTGGCAGGAATGTTTTATGTTGGGCTGGCCACAATTTCTAGTTTATATTTCAGTAAACATAAATCATTTGCTTAGATAATACTGAACTATTACTTGAAACAGAGCTTTCCTTCTTCACAAAAACACTCTATCAGACCTTTGAATATGTTAAGATATAGTGTTAAATAATCATAATGTTCATATATATAAAAATGCAGAAGGGGGCTTCCTGGTAGCACACAAAGAAAATGCCAAATGTTCAAATATACAATAAAAAAAAGAGACCTACTTTAGTTCTAAGGCCAATTCTAGCAAACCCACGCATCAGCTTGACAAACTTCATCGATTCCCGCCTCTGAGAGGCACTTCTGGGCAGAGCTGGTGGGAGCCAGGAGCACTGGTGGCATCACTGGAAGTGCAGCCAGCACAGTGTTCTTCCTGGAATGCAGAAAACAACCTGGTGATTATCCCTCCTGGGAAGGTGGGGTGCCAACTGCTAGAGTTCTCAGCAAATACTTCATCTGTCTCGTTATGACTCTAAGGTCCCTCAAAGAACTCAAATAATAACCTAAACTCTATAACGTTATAGGGCTGCCATCAGTTGGAGTTATTTGTCCTCTGAAAGATATGCAGTCCAGCCTGTTCCCACCCTACCTTCGCTCCCTAACTGTGCACAACAATGATGATGTTGAGTGAAAGAAGCACATACTGTATGATTTCCTTTCTACAAAAACAAAACAGGCAAAACTAAGCTGTAGTCAGCATGCAAGTTTAAATGGTAAACTAAAAAAGAAGAGTCAGAAAGTGATCAGCTCAGGGCAGCAGATGCCTCTGAGGGGACTGTGTGTGAGGCAAGAGCATGAAGGGACTGCCTAGGGCGAGAGGCTCTGGCTCCTGGCCGGGCCGTGCTGCTTCCCCACCAGGCAGCATAATTTTCTGTACTAGTGTTATCTTCCCCAGCAACAAGTTTGAAAAAAATCTGTGGCTAAATGCTTTAGCTATTAGATAGCCCAGGTTGCCAATGGATATTTGGATCAACTTATTATTTTTTCCTCTATGATGTGTAAACTTCTTAATTTTTTTCACAAAATTAAAACGTGAGTCATTTATGTATCACCTAAATATTCAGACTTTATAGTAAATCAGTGTTAAAATACATGAAACCCTTAAAGATAAGCAAGTGTGGAGCATGATAAAAACAACTGCTGAAAGTATGTCTCAGGCACAGGGGACAGAATCAGCCCGCTGACACTGCCTCAGAATTAAAATATGTAATGACGTGAAGTGATGACTGTGTTATCGAATCTTATGGTGGTGAGCATTTTGCAATATACACATGTCATGTTACCTTAAACTTACATAAGGTTATATGTCAATTCCATCTCAATAAAGCTGGGAAAACATAAATACAAAAGGTTTGCTTTAACTAGAAAAATCCATCAAATATATGAAGCTAGTATTCCTTATTATTCATTTTAATCCTGTCATAAATCATCTGGAGTAAGAATATACAAATGGATAACTACCCATCATAATTTTCATAAATCAACATAAACTATTACACAAATGACGATTTTCACTGCCCTAAATGTATAGTACTTCCTATTTGATTTGCCGAGAAACAGTGGCAAAGACAGACATTGAATGGGTTTCTGGATCTAATTGCATGTGAAGGCTCTCGTGGGCCAACAAATCTCCTTTTTTGCTCATGCTCGTTTGTGGTTGGATTTCTGCTACTTACAACACACAGCCATGATACAATTACCATTTTGAGAATTTCAGATGAAGGTTCCTACTTAGTAGTGCTACAGAAATTATAAATGATTGAACAAAATAGCCCAGAGCGAAGAGGAATTCTTTACTTTTAAAATTTCATTTGCATGGGTGTGCTGCACACATACCCACAAACTTATATACATAAATATAGAAAAGTCATCATACAGGTTGTGTTTCTTTATTAGTCATCTCTGTGTGTGTATGTTCTTTTTTATTTGGTTAATTTCTCCTCTTCACTTTCCTCCACCCTTACCAGTCTGAAAGCCACTCCCTGCTCCCCAGCCCGCCCGCCCCTCCGCCCCCGCCCCCACCCCGGTAACCCATATTAACCACCTGGTATATTTTCTTCCATATATATTTCCATGTACACCTAATTGTAAAGACATACAAGCACACTTTTTCCTATTGTTCTTTTCTAACTACTATATCATACCCAGTTTTCCCATTCAATAATGGCTCATGAAAAATTTTCAATTCAACTGATAGGGCCCTAAATTCCTTTCTAAATGGCTGCATAATATTTCACCATTTGGATATACTGTGATACAGCCAACCATTTCTTTCCTGGTAAACATTTGTTTATCTCCATTTTTCCCCTTCACATATGGCAGAACACATTACAACACATATCCTCACATACAGGTGTTTTTATTTCTTTAAGAGAACAATGAATGGAATTCCTGGATGATACAGATATTACTTCTGACATATGTAATTGCTTCCCAACAGACTATAACACATACTGCAACCTGTAATGTGTATACTATTTCTTCCTAACAGGAACAGATATATCATCATCTGAGTCTGAGTGTCTTATTTGTTGGCCTTCTGCATTTGCTATTCTCTGAACAATGTTCATATTTTTTCTTATTTTTCTCTTGGGTTGTTGGCCCTTTCTAGTAAATTTTTAAATATTCTTTGTCATTACAGATATCAAACTCTGTCCTCTGTATTGCAAACACTTCCCCACAAATTGACTATTTATTGGCTTTGTACCTACGAGTTATATCAAAAAGCCATTATATAAGAATCCTTCATATGTTTCTATTTCAAAAACATTCATGTATACTTTGTAAAACAGACTGTTTTGGTCTCCTTCCCCAGCTTTCATGATTCAACTCTTCTATTTCCATTTTAAGTTTATCAGTGGCCCATTTTACCTAGATGTCCTCTGCTCTGCCCGTCACGTAGAGGAGATTGTTTGCAAACATGGCTGCAATCATTCTCCACAGCCTTAGAAATGGGACTTTCCACTCATCCCATGAACAGGTGGAGGAACCTGCTTCCCCCACCCTTAAGTCTCAGCTGGCCTTGTGACATGTTTGGCCTAATAAAATAAAGTTGAAGTGACTTTGGGACAGTTCGGAACCCTCACCGCAGGGTGCCCGGCAGCTTCTGCTCCTGCCCTCTTGGAACCCGTGTGAAGAAGCCCAGGCTAGCCTCCCTAAAGATGAAATGGTGCTGAAGACTTGCTTCTGTCTGGAATTTCTTTTTGTGCAAAATGGAACATCACTCTTCAAACATTTTCATTCCTTGATCATCAGTTTTTAAGATGTCTCAAATTCTTTGACTAATAACTCTATTTCTCAAAATATATGAGAGATCCTGGCACTTGCAGCATCATTCTTCTTCGTGAATAATCAAGGCAGAACACTGGTTTTAAGCTCAGCTGTTGATAAATGACATGCACTCGCCATCTCTCATCCACAAAACCCTAAGCTCCAAATCGTAGTCTTCATGACACTTCAGTCTCAATAAGCTTAAACCATACATGTGGCATATATCCCCAAGAAAGGCACCTTTCCATCTAGAGCAGTGGTTCTCAACCTTGGCTGCAGATTAGAATCACCTGAGAATCTTTTTAAAATCCTGATTTCTGGGCCTCATCCTCCGGAAATTCTGTTTCTTTGTTATGGGGTGGGGCCACAACATTAGTAACAAAGAAACAATTTCCGGAGGATGAGGCCCAGAAACCAGGATTTTAAAAAGATTCCCAGGTGATTCTAATGTGCAGCTAAGGTTGAGAACCACTGAGTTAGAGTGTGAAAGATTCACATTACTCTTAATAATTACTAATCACCAGTAGTATGCTGGTCTCAGTCCTAATTGCCATAGTTCTCCCTTAGGGAACATTAACAATATTTGAACTATTGTATAGTGTGATAGTCTCAGAATTAAGCTTTTGCTATGCCTTTTCACTGAAAACAATCCTTCTTGGTGTAATAAAAGGCTCTAATTTAGAAAACCTTACAATAATAGGCTCAACAGTTGCAAGCACTCATTCTTAAACTATCAACAGCTGACTCTAAATGAATTTAACCTGCAACACCAATAACCCTTAATGGTTGCTTGGCAGCACACTGAGCACCTTCCAGAAAACTCCCCTCGAAGATTAAAACTCTTACTTTACCACTCCTCCAAGACCAAGTAATTTAATTTGATGGGGAATCACAGCTATTTATTAGAATACAGCCAAGTTATTGGTCTAGAATTCTAGGCTACTAATCTTGGATGAGAGGCCATTATTTACACGTTGAGGAAGGATTATCATGCATCTTTTGCCAGCAGTTTTAAGCCAATCAGTATCCAGCAAGGAAGGAGAAAAACCAGGTACTCCTCACCCTGTGTACAGTCATCCACATCTGCAACCTCAGGGCCCTGGATGTGTGGCCAGGAGCATGGCCATCGCTTGCAGGCAGTCTGAAATGGAAGCACATGGGATCTGGTATCAGTAGACCTAGATCTGGGGCCTGGCTCTGATTTCAATGGTTATGTAACCTTGAACTAAGAAATAACACCTGCCTCACAATGTTGTTGTGAGGATTCAATGAAATTATATAGGTACTAGAGGCCCGGTGCAGGAAATTCATGCACTGGGGGAGGGGGGTGTCCCTCAACCCAGCCTGCACCCTCTCCAATCTGGGACCCCTCGAGGGATGTCCAACTGTCCACCAGGATCGGGCCTAAACCGGCAGTCAGACATCCCTCTCACAATCCAGGACTGCTGGCTTCCAACCACTCACCTGCCTGCCTGCCTGATTGCCCCTAACCACTTCTGCCTGCCAGATCACCCCCTAACCACTTCCTGTCAGCCCGATCGACGCCTAACTGCTCCCCTGCCAGCCCGGTTGCCCCCAACTGCCCTCCCCTGCCAGGTGCCACCATCTTTCTGCCCTCCCCTGCCAGGTGCCACCATCTTTGAGGGTGTGACAGTCTGTGGGTGCTGCCATCTTTGAGGGCAGTGCAGTCAATTAGCATATCCCCTCCTTATTGGCTGTAGGCACCCACCATCTTTGAGGGTTGGGGCTGTCAATTAGCATATTCACTCCTTATTGGCTATGGCACTGCCACCTTTGTGA